GGACCTTCTCATCACCCCCCCCCGCCCCTCTGCCTGCCCATCAGATCCCCTCCCGGTCTTCCGCCCCGCGCCAGGATCGAAGCCGCTCGCGGGGTGGGAGGGGAGGGGAGGGGAATGGAAGCGAGCCTGTGGGCTGGAACGGGCTGCCGCGGCTGCCTGCGACAGATCAGCCCTGCCTCGCCTGCCTCGCCGGCCCGCTCCCCGTTCTGCTGAGTCCCCGTCTTTGCAGGAAGGAGTCCTGATGTCACGGACTTTCTCTCTCTCTCTCTCTCTCCCCCCCCCTTCACCTGTCAGCAGTTCTCCCGTTTGGACAACGGCTCGGTCAGGGGGCGGCTGCGAGAAGAGCGGGAGGAGGGGGGGATAAGCCCGAAAGAAGCTCCCCCCCCTTCCCATCCCGTCCCATCCGCTTTGCAACGAGGAGGAAGCGCCTGCCTGCCTGTAGCCCCACGTCTAACCGTCCGTCCATCTCCATCTCCTGCTGGAGGGTGGGGGGAGGCGGGAGGGGAGGAGACTCACACAAGCAGGGAGCCCAGGGAGTTGCTGCATCCCCCGCTCAGACAGCGCTGTCTCTCCGGCTCTTCTTCTTGAACCACTGGAGAGTTGGGGGGGAGGGGGGGAGGTCAACTGACACCCCCCCAGCCGTCCCGTGGGGCGCAGACGCGAGCGCTCACGAGAGCCTAAAGGTAAAGGTCTCCCTTGCAAGAAAAGCGAGTCCGACTCTAGGGTTGCGGTGCTCCTCTCCGTTTCCAAGCCGAAGAGCCAGCGCTGTCCGAAGACGTTTCCCTGGTCCTGTGGCCGGCGTGACTAAACACCGAGGCGCACGGAACGCTGGTACCTATTTATCTACTTGCAATTTCTTGCTTTCGAACTGCTAGGTTGGCAGGAGCTGGAACCAGAGACGGGAGCTCCCTCCATCATGTGGCACACTCAGGTCTTGAACTGCTGACCGTCCACACCCTAAAGTTCAGTGTCTTAACCACTTGAGCCACCGCAGCTTCTCCAGGCCGGCTCCATCCCCCGCTCTCTTCCAGGTGCCCTTTCTCCCCCCCCTCGGCTGCCCTTCTGGCCTCCAAGTCGACCTCCCACCCGCTCCCAAAGCCCCACACACCCGCCCCCTCTGCTTGCCCTACCTGCCAGAAACGCGGACAGCCCCCTGTGCAAGGGGGCAGGCATCCTCCAGGCCAGGCGTGCAGGAAGCCCAATGAGAGAGAGAGAGTTTTCCAGGAGCACCTCCAAAGGGGCCCCCCTTCTGGGTTAGGGGACTCTGTTAGGAGAAAGTCACTGGCTGATGCTGGGTCTCCAAACACTCACACGGGCGCCACACAACACACTGTCAGCCACCCCCCACCCCTATCAGCTGAGGGGCGGGGAAGTGTGGCAGGACAGGATCCCAGCGCTGACGCTCAGCCCAGTGCCCAGGGGCAGGGAGCGCTCTGTGCTCCAGTCATGGGGAATGGACAGAAATAGGATAACTATTGAATGCAGCCTGTGGAGGCACACGGAGAGACAGAGATGCAGACCCAGGAAATCTCCTGTTATGTCCACAGACCGCCACCAGGCGCCAGCGACTAATCCCTGTGCTTGGTTCTCAGAGACAATAGGGACTAGGATCCGGAAACCTCTAAAGGTAAAGGTAAAGGTTCCCTTGCTCGAAAGCCAGTCGAGTCCGACTCCAGGGTTGCAGTGCTCATCTCCGTTTCCAAGCTGAAAAGCCAGCGCTGTCCGAAGAAGTTTCCGTGGTCATGTGGCCGGCATGACTAAACACCAAGGTGCACAGAACGCTGTTACCTTCCCACCAAAGTGGTACCTATTTATCTACTTGCAATTTCTTGCTTTTGAACTGCTAGGTTGGCAGGAGCTGGAACTAGAGACGGGAGCTCACTCAGTCATGCGGCAACTTGGGTCTCGAACTGCTGAACTACTGACCTTCCACAGCCTGTAGTTCAGCGTCTTAACCACTTGTCCTGAAACCTCTAGTGGTCACCAATAGGAACTTGGCGGGAAGTTTAAACCCTCCAATAGGACCTGTGGGTGGACCAAAGAGACTGTATATAGTTGGCCCACCTGCTGGTATTTGTGTGTTATGTTGTGTACTAATAAACATGTGCTGAGTATCACTCTCGTGATCATTCGATGGGTCAAACTCACTGCACAACATCTCCCCTGGCTGGAAAATTTAGTAAAAGGGAGGGAAATAATGTTAGGCTTGGGAGCGGGAACTTTTTTCGGAGCTGGAAGATTAGGGGAGCAAGAAGAGGTGCTTCTAAAACACCAAAATAAAACAGTACTTTTGACAAGGCTCGTTTCCAATGTCCAGGCCCAGTGAGTTAGAAGACAACACTCCCCGCTGCCCCCCACCACTAATTTTTTTAACAAGCTGAAAATATGTTTTCTTTTACATTTTTTCTATGCAGCTTTATAGTTGAAAACGATCAAAGCAGAGGCACAGTAAAAAAACAAAGCACTGTAAGATCATTGCTAGATAAAAAAAACAAAAAAGTGAAACTTCCAGTTCTTCTAATATGAATCTTACTTTTCTGTACTAAATGCCCAGCAAAGAAAGCTCCTGGAAAGAAGAAAACAGGGAATGTGACTAGCTTGAGGCTGTAATTTTGCACTGTCCACTGAAAAGACTCTACTCTTGATGGATGTCAAACTTGCATCCGCCTGAGATGAAAACATGAGCAGGACATTGTTGACAGGCCTTAAAGAGTAGAAAGGTTGGTACAAAAATGTACATTGCTTAAGGTACCTTAGGCCCAAGCCAGCACTTTGAATTGTGCCTGGAAACACTAGTACCCATGTCGTTTAGTAAGCAAAGTTTTAATATGCTTCCTCCGGCTGATACCCAATGGTAGCCAAGCAGCACTTTGGACCAACTGACATTTCTGAACAATCTTCAAGAAAAACTCCATCCAGAGCACGTTACGATAGTCGCCAAGGCAGTGGTGTTTTGTTTCAGGGGCCAGTGCAGTTGGCGGATCAGTTTAAGGTCATAAAAGCCTCCAAACTGCAAGCCTGGTCTTTCATGTCATATAATCCTGCTCACGGGTTGTCTGCTGTTCCTGCCAACATAATCTTTGTGGGTTTTTCCCCCCTGAACTGAGCTTCATCCAATACATTAACTCTCAGGCACAAAGAACTGGAGTACCATCAGCCTACTGATGATACTACACTCCAAATCTCTAGATGACCTCTCTGGGAGGTTTCATATAGCATAGAAAACAGAGTGGAGCCTCAGCAACATAGGACATGTCTGATAGAAAAGATCAGTAGTCTCCTAGCAGTATCCTCTTGAACTGGAGCGAAGGAGTCCTCCACTATGTGCCTCAGGATGATACCTTAAGTCAGTGGTGTCAAAAGCTACTGAGAGGCCCAGGAGAATTAACCAAGTCACTCTCCGCTGCCCATCTCCCACCGAGGATCAGTCAGAGCACCCAAATCCATCTTAGTTTGCCCACTTGAACATTCAGTGTCCTTGCACTTGAATACTACAATAGGAAATCCACTGTCAAAAATAAGTAGTATGAGGTTCTGATACATTCCAAGCCAAATCTTATTATAAAAGGTAAACTGAAATCATTAGTCCAACTCTTCACTTGCTAGTTGGTTGACTAAGCAAAGAAACACTCACTCTCTTCCCTGTATCTTGGCTGCGGTCACACGGAACAGAAGCCACACAAGTGAGACGGAAAACAGGCGGCGTTTCCGGGCGTGATCTCACCAGCACATCTGGGAAGTGTAGCACTCCCGTGGCACAACCGAGGCTTCCAGCCGAAACTGCGTGGCAAAAAACTAGTACCTCAGAGGTACTAGTTTCCGGAAACTGCGGGGCAAGGGCGGGCGTCTGATTGCGTTTCCAGTGGCATCCGGCGCCCGCCCATGTCCCCTTGCAAATAAGGGGTTTTTTCCCGTCCACGTCTCTGTGGATGCGCACACGCACCCAACGGAGCATGTGCATTCGTCGTGTACACACAAAAACAAAACAGTTTGCCGCGGCGTGCACTTCTTCGTTGCGCGCCGGCTTGTCCTGTGATCAGCACCTCTCCCTTGCCATGGAACCTCCACGGTACCTCCACAGGACCTCCACGGGAGGTCTGATCGAGTAACAGCGCAGTAGTTTGCCCCAGGGCAAACAGCCACGCTTCTCCCCCGCAGTTTCCTGCCCGTGTGACCGGGGCCCTTATTATGTTTATGTCTTACCTATCTTAACGTGAAACTCAAGGCTGCACATTTAAGAGGTCCTAGGTGATTCTGCCCAACTGCTGGTGGTGTGTGCAAGGAATATTCAGCTGGAGAAAGAGGCTTCTCTGCCTGAAGAGTAGCTGCTTATGATGTGAGGGAGGCTCCTCTAAAAGGTTCCTCATATGTTCTGTGGAGAAATGCCTCCCTTCATGAAGCATACGAAGGCTGCGGTCACACAGAGCATTAGCCACGCTACAGAGACGGAAGATAGGCGGATTTTCCGGGCGCAATCAAACCACAATGTCTGGGAAGCGTAGAGCTCCCATGGCGAACCCGAGGCTTCCCGCCGAAGATGCGCCGTAAAAAACTAGTACCTCCGAGGTACTAGTTTCCAAAACCGCGAGGCAAGGGCGAGTGTCTGATCACGTTTCCGGTGGTAGTTCGTGGCATCCGGCGCCCGCCCATGTCCCATCGCGAAAAGTTTTTTCCCCCAAGTCTCCACGGGATGCACACAAGCACCCAACTGCGCATGCGCACACTTCGGTTAAAAAAAACCCACAACCCCCGCTGCACCGCTTCTTTGCCGCGCCACAGGATTGACGTATGATTGGCACCTCCCCCCGAACCACGGGACGTCGGCTGGACATTTGATCCGGCAGCTGTGCAGTAGTTTGCTCCGGGGCAAACAGCCACGCCTCCCCGCCCTCCGCGATATCCAGCCCGTGTGACCGGGGCCTAAGTTGAGTAGTAGGATGCAACCTATTGTGTCTTCATGGTTTTTCCTCAGTGGTCCTATAGATAAGTGTTTTCCTTGTAATATTTCTAATCTGTTAGAAAGCTATGCTGTCTTTGAAATATTCCACTTGACATGATCAATGATGACCTTCTGTTGACTTTAACATAACTGGGGGTTAAGTATCTCACTGATTTTCACAGTTCTACCAAAGGAGCTCAAGGTGGTATATGTGTTATCATCATAACAATTTGAGGTAGACTAGGATGAGACAAAGTGACTGCTCTGAGGTCACCGAGGCTACAATCATGAGCACACTTAGTACGAACTTGGAAGTAAATCCCATTGGAGTCAGTGGGATTTATTTTTGCATATACATGCTTAGTAAGGTATTGTGAACATCACAGCAGAGTGGGGATGTATAAATAGGCACTATATTTTTTTTAGTACCAGGCAGTCTAATTTACTGGCTTTGGCTCTGCAATCTCTAGTGTTACATGTGTGCTTATTATTGTCAATGCCTTTGCTTTGAGGACACAGAGCATTAGACCATCTCTCTAAGGAATGAGTTGCCTTGAACCAGATGTTCTCAGTACCTGTCATCTGCTCTGTTGCCTTTTTGATTTTCAGTGTGTCGGGTTCCAACACTGTCAGATCTTGGGTCCAAATACTCTCGCAACACTCTCGAGGTAGCAAGATTTGTTTATTGAGCGTTACAGGTCATCCAAGCATATACAGAGTTTGTGTTGGAACTATCGGCTCCAGGCTAGGGCCAAACCTATACAGAGTGTGGGACCACCCCTAGTTCCGTAAGTGCCCAATCATCCATTCCCATATGACCCGCCAAAGCTTCAAGCTCAACCCCATGGCCTCCCCCAGCACCTGCAAACTAACGGTTATATTATCTATGCTGCAAGGTCATGCATAGGCCAGCAAAGCGAAGATTCAGACATGCACCCACTCCCAAAGAATGCACATAAACGAAAGCAGTGGGAAAAATCAGAGAGAATGAAAGGCGTTAACCCTCGATGTAACAGAACAGTAATGCCCATGGAAAACAACCCATGACAAGCAAGGCACGAGCTCGACACAGTCCTGACAGCAACTAGTTCCCCTTGTACCAAAATATTCCCCAATGCCTAATAAGTTTAAAACTTTCCTCCTGACACCGTCTTACCCACACCTTAAGATCTTGAAAGTTTCTCCTGTCCAGTCCTGTGTGTGGAATAGGTTTCCCCATTGTAGTACCTTGGAATTTCTGGACTTCAGCCCTTAAAATTGTGCCCTCGCGACAAGCCGTGCATACCTACTTGCTTGTAAATAGGCAATAATGATTTGGATTTACATAGGATAAAATGGTGGCTTACAAGAAGTCAGAGGGAGATAAACTGTTTGGAAATGCCTCCCTCCCATCTCAGTATCTCCATCCAGTATTCTGTGGGGTTGGAACCGGCCAATGTCCTGCCCCTTCAATAGACTGCTTTTAACATTCTGTACCCCCAAAGCATGATCAGTTCCCATCAGACTTTTGTGAGGGCACTCCCCAAATATGTAGAATGTCCTATCTTGTCTGAGGGTGTCCTGATTTTGTTGTTTCCATTATTTGAGTAAGCCTCCCACTTTAGTATTAGGTATTGTAAGCTGGGGCCCGCAAGAAACTGTGGGTTTGGAAATCCGTTCCCAAATCTTCCCCTCCAAGATTCTGTAAACTCTCAGCGGCTTGAGCAGGCCAGTTTTCTCACCATTCTCTACTCTCCCTCCTTGCCTTGGTTACTTCCAATATTGTGTATTCCCTGGAATATGCTCTGTTCCCATTAGACCATTTATTTTCTCTTTGGTTGATTTATGATGTCATGTTTCCCCACTTATTTAGGAAGACCACCATGTATGTTGCAATCACTGCAGTCTCATGACTTGATTTTACTGCTTTCATAATTGGCACATGAAGAAAACACTTCGGCCAGGGCTATTTTTGGGCAGGAACGCACAGGAACGGATTTCCGGCTGGCTTCCAAGCCCAGGGGGTGGGCACATGCAGCAAGCCCCGCCCCCTGGTTCCAGCAGCCCACAGTTGGGCCACGAGGAGCAAGAAGCAGGGAGGTAAGTTGCGGAGCCCCCCCCCCACTTTCTCGGCCAGTGCTGAGGCACAGGGCCCGGGAAGGCCTGCAGAGCCCCCCCGGGCTTTCCTGGCCCCCGCCTTTTCTGGGGTGTGGCCTAATATGCCAAAGAGCTGCACTGTCAGGGGTGTGGCCTATTATGCTAATGAGTTCCTCCTGGGCTTTTTCTACAAAAAAAGCCCTGCACTTCACTATAGTAAAACAAAGAAGTATTTCAGGAGTTCAAAGGCCTTCACATTAATTTAGCAAAACGATCTGGCCAAGCAGGATTCACAAACAGATCTAGATCTTTGGTACCATTGGAAGTTCATGACTATAGTTTCTATTTCACTGAGGAAACTATTTCTCAAACAACTCAGCTCTCTAGTTCTAAGATAGCTTCTGTGATCTTCAGATTTCTTCTGGAAGGCTAGGTTGTGATTTTCTTAGGTAGGTGGGGTTGTACTTTGAAGTTTTATAGTTGCTTATTTATATACCTATAATATTGCACAGGAGGCAGCAATCAGCACCATCCCAAAGAAAAAGAAATGCAAGAAAGCAAAGTGGCTTTCTGATGAGGCTTTACAAATCGCTGAAGAAGGAAAGTGAAAGGCAAAGATGAAAAGGAAAGATTTACCCAACTGGATGCAGATTTCCAGAGAATAGCAAGGAGAGATAAGGCCTTCCTGAATGAACAATACTAAGTAATAGAGGAAAACAATAGAATGAGAAGGACTAGAGATCTCTTCAAGAAAATTGGAGAAATCAAGGGAATGTTCTGTGCAAAGCTGGCCATGATAAAGGGGAAAAAACGGTAGGGATCTAACAGAAGCAGAAGAGATTAGGAAGAGATGGCAAGAATACACGGAACAAGTATACAAGAAGGACCTCAATGTCCTTGAAAACCACAATGGTGTGATCACTGACCTTGAGCCAGACATCCTGGAGTGTGAAGTCAAATGGGCCTTAGAAAGCATTACCAACAACAAAGCTAGTGGAGATGATGATATCGCAGCTGAGCTATTCAAAGTTCTAAAAGATGATGCTGTTAAAGTATAGCACTCAATATACCAGCAAATTTGGAAAATGCAACAGTGGCCATAGGGCTGGAAAAGGTCAGTTTACATTCCAATCCCAAAGAAGGGCAATGCCAAGGAATATTCAAACTATTGCACAATTGCACTCATTTCACAAGCTAAATTGGTCATGCTCAAGATCCTACAAGCTAGGCTTCAGCAGTACATGGATAGAGAACTGCCAGAAGTACAAGCTGGGTTTCGAAGAGGTAGAGGAACTAGAGATCAAATTGCCAACATTTACTGGATTATGGAGAAAGCAAAGGAGTACCAGAAAAACATCTACGTCTGCTTCATTAACTATGTTAAAGCCTTTGATTGAGTGGATCACAACAAACTGTGGCAAGTCCTTAAAGAGACAGGAGTACCAGACCACCTCACGTCTCCTGAGAAACTTGTATAAGGGTCAAGAAGCGACAGTTAGAACTAGATACGGAACAACTGATTGGCTTAGCATAGGAAAAGGAATACGACAAGGATGTATATTGGCACTCTGCTCATTTAATTTATATGCAGAGTACATCATGCAAAATGCCAGCCTGGATGAATCACAAGCCAGAATTAAGATTGCTGGGAAAAACATCAACAACCTCAGATATGCAGACGATACCATTCTAATGGCAGAAAGTGAAGAGGACCTAAAGAGCCTCTTACTGAAAGTGAAAGAGGAGAGTGCAGAAGTTGGCTTGAAACTCAACATCAAAAAAACTAAGATCATGGCATCCGGCCCCATCACTCCTTGGCAAATAGAAGGGGAAGTCATGGAAGCAGTGACAGAATTCACATTCCTGGGATCCAAGATCACTGCAGACGGTGACTGCAGCCATGAAATTAAGATGCCTGCTCCTTGGGAGGAAAGCGATGGGAAACCTAGACAGCATAATAAAAAGTAGAGATATCACCCTGCCAATAAGTCCATATGGTCAAAGCAATGATATTCCCAGTAGTAATGTATGGCTGCGAAAGTTGGACCATAAGGAAGGCCGAGTGCTGAAGAATAGATGCTTTTGAATTATGGTGCTGGAAAAGACTCTTGAGAGTCAATTCTAAAGGAAATCAACCCTGACTGTTCCCTGGAAGGCCAGATCATGAAACTGAAGATCAAATACTTTGGCCACCAAATGAGAAGGGAGCACTCACTGGAGAAGACCCTGATGCTGGGAAAGATTGAAGGTCAAAGAAGACGGGGACAGCAAAGGATGAGATGGTTAGACAGTGTCATAGATGCAACGAACATGAAATTAAACAAACTCCAGGGGACAGCAGAAGACAGGAGGGCCTGGCGTGATGTGGTCCGTGGGGTCGTAAAGAGTCGGACTCAACTGTGCGACTGAACAACAACCACCCCCTTGTATTTCTTTCTCATTTTATTACTTACCTTTTATGGACGGCAAGCACAATGCTGATAATGTTGTTGAAAACCATAATAGTCATATTTATGCTAGTGCAATGCAAAAGGTAATGTAACGCCTTGAGACATGCGTGTTCAAATCCTCTTCAGCACAGGGAGGCCATGGAGGCAGCTACCTCTCAGCTGAACCTAATACATACGCCTATAGTTATTCTGAGTATAAAACAGGAGGATAATCCTATGTTTACTACCCCAAGCTCCTCTGAGGAAAGGAAAAATACAAGGGAAGATGTATAGAATCCTGTTCTCTTTAAACATTTACAGAGCAGCAGCAGCAGCACTCGGAAAGCTATACATGACTGAACTTCTAATGGAAAAGGAAATACATCATAGATGATCCTGATTCCCCTTTCTTTTGCATCTTTGCTCTACTCTCAGAAGTTGCATGCACTTGTTTTGTGACTTGTGGGAATATTTATGTATCTCCCCATCTCTCCTTCCACGTATAGGCTTCTAATCTCACTCTACCTTCCACCCCCAAAGAAACTAATGATAAATAAATGAAGCGCACACGCACGCACACCTTTCCAAACTTTAGAAAATAGTTTCCCAAACAGTAAATCATCTTTATCAGGCAGTGAAACTCTGCCTGACCTGTAATTTTTCCCATGGTTTATACAGAGCTAATGAAGAACCTTCATTTCTCAGTTTCCATATAACCTTCAGGGGAAAAGTTCAGGCTCAAAATAACATTTATAGTAGTCATCTCACATAACGTTTCTTTTCTACTAAAGAAAAGCACGGCTATCAGAATTAACATCTGGAGCTAGACTGCTGTACTTTTAAAGCGGAATGGAGATTTCCCAAATGTCATTCCATGAATAATCACAAGGGCTTATTTGAGTTTCCCTTTCCAGCCTGGCCTTACCCTTTCAAGAACACAATCCATAAAATACCTTTGATTAGGACCAAACATTGGATCAATGACACATGACAGTGTGCGTGATTTCCGGTTCCTCAGAACTTTTAAACAGGCCAGATGTTACAAAATAAAAAGAGGGGGAAAGCAGGTTTTTCAGGTAAACATGATCTTAAGACCCTCTCATGCCACTGTCTGTACTGGTTTGAATAAAACAAACAAACAAACAAACAACTCCAAGCCAGGCAAAAAGATGACATTACAAAAGAGTTGGGGCAGAAAAAAACTTTAATTTTTCTATGAGAAATGAGAGTGTCGCTCAGACAGCATGTTATATAACTGAAGAGTCACAATGGCATTTGACATGTTTAGAAAGAGCAAGTAGAACAAAAGGTGAATGGTGGCAAGCTACAGGTCCAGTGGCTTCATTCACATCATCCCAACAAACTGATTCCCCTACTTAAAAGACCTTACAGAGAGATGCTAGACTGGTCTTAACAGTTGCAATCAAGAGGCTACTATGTCTAGTATTAACAGCCAAAAATCTGTCTGCCAAACAAAGGTTGCATTCAATCCCAGAAAAAACCCCTACTCCCCACTGAATATCTGCGTTTGATATTTTGCGGGGAGATGCTCCTTGAGACAACTTTGAGCTACTAATGCAGGACTGAAGTCCACTATAGAGTAGGCACTAAGCACAGAGCTTAGAGAAGCCAATTTATTATGCCAAGGGCAATTCAGAGCACACGGCACTTAATAAATGCCCATGTTTGTATGATACTCATATTTATAATGCATCCTAGTTTGAATACCAGTCTTGTTGGCAAGCTGCAATGATGCTACCAAAAATTCTCCTTACATCTTCTGCATAGCTTTCTTGGAGGGCACCTTACTGCTTATATCAGCATCCAAAATATTCAACCCAGTAGGGAAGAAAAGTCTAGAACATGTAGCATATCCATAAATGTTTACTCAAGTTTCTGAAAGGTCTTCGATTCCCTTGATATGGCTCACCATATGCCAGATTCTCAGCTAGTTCAAGAGAATACAAGCAGTCTTTTGTTCTATCAGTACTCTCAGGTATTTGTGCTTTCTGTTGCTCATGCTGCCTTGCAAACTTGGAACTGGATCCAGAAGAAGAACAGAACCCGCTGAATGCATCTCACAGGTACTAAAAGTCTCCTTATACATCAAAGTCATATTAACAAATTACAAATAATTTAGCTTTCTAACACTAACATCCCACCTATTTCCCCCCCTCCCCTTGCCCTGAATGGCTACCACTTGTGTTTCGTTTGTCAAGTCAAAAGCAGAGCCCCAAACAGAGACAGATCCTGGAAAGAGATGCTGTGGAACTTCTGTTAAGGCGGGCAAGAGTTTGCTTGTGTAGAGCCATTAAGGTGATTGGCTTCCTCGACCAAATTTGTCGAAGCAGAGTACATTTTAAGAGTGTCATCTACAAGAATTTTTCTTCTGTGCAGTAAAACTGGGAGGGCGTGTATGGTAAGAAAGACTTTTAAGTAAAGAAAAAAACCCCAAGGTCTTATTAAAGGAAAACATATTAGAATGTTGATGTTTCTCTAAAACTACTTTGATACAGAAGCTCTCACAAGTATCATTGCTTGAAATACTTTTAGGTGGGGGGGGGGAAACCAGGAAGTTGTTTCTTTGGGTCTTTGAAAGAAGATGGGAAGAACAAATTTAAAGGGGAAGGCGTTTACAACTACACTTTGAGATTGTATCATGTGAACGGGCTTTGCCAGAGCGAAGTACAAAATATTAGCTGGAGAACCCAGTCACATCCTATACAAGGGGATTCCCTACCATTATTACATTATTACTTCCTGAGGATTCTCTGTAGGGTCCAGTCTGCTATTGCCCCCTCCCTACACAGCTTGCTATGTAAAATTTGCAAATCAGGACCTTTCTGCTATTTCCCACACCTTTATGATACAAGTAACACAGGTAAAACGTTTCCTTATTTTTAACATTCCACATTTGGGACCATCAAACGAAGGCCAATGTAATCTAGTACTTCCTTGGAATAACCTCTGACACTTATTCAAGGAACATTTTCATTTCTTTAAACAAGAGAAAATCAAGGGGAAAAGTATTCAGAAAGTCTTACAAAAGGAGAGGAAGATAATGGCAAACCGTACTAGTTTAAATTAAAGAGATATTTGTAAGCCCTGATGCTTACTAAAAGGGCAGCCTTTTTAGTAGACTGATGCTCCTCAGATACAGTGATTTTATTACAACTTCTCTATAGCCTGTTATGCAGGAGAGGGCAAGTGATCATTAAGAAGTCAGCCGTAGTCTTTTCCCCATATAATTTTAAAATCACATTTAGATTTTGAAATGTGTCCTTTTTTCTATATTTTTGCTGTGAATACCAATAAGTCATGATACAGAACTCCAGTGAGCTTATCCGGGGGTGCTTGTGTGTGGCCTTCTGTAGAGACTGCGGGAGGTGGGGCTCAGTCGCTTTTACACTTTTCCGCTACACTTGGCAAAGCCCACTGAGTCATTATCTCGGTCAAACACGGTGTAATACGGGCCAATGAATACATCCCCGAGGATCCAAAGAGGGCCACCAGGTGGTGGGACATCCAAGGCTGAAAACCCACTCAGGCAAAGAGTTTCCCCTTGAACGGTAATCTACAGAGAGAAAAGGAGAATGAGATGAAACACGAAAAAGATTTTTAAAAAATAATCAGCTGGGAGAACTTCAGATTGTGGTGGTGGTGGGGAAATAGTTACATTCAGGCCCGTAGCTAATGTGGGGCCCACGGGGCCCGGCCCCCTAGCATTTCTTCCAGGACCCCTCCCTTCCGGGCTGCCCCCAAATTGAATTAACGTTATTAGCTTTGATTTAATTAGCTGTACCCCCCCCGAGGCCCCCTCCTCCCCAAAATCCCTAGCTACAGGGCTGGTTACACTTTATCTTGTTCCATCTGTTGATGGACGGCTGCCTGGCTTTCGCCCCAGAAAAGCTGGCCAGCACTTTGGAGGCTGTGACTGGATGGTTACAGCAGAGCCGGTTGAAAACGGAACCCAACTAAGATGGAGGTCTTGTACCTAAGTCGGGGTGTGTGTGGGGTCAGGAATCAGGCTGCCTGCCAGCCCAGAAGGTGGTCCTGAATGCTCCCCTTTCTTATGGAGGCCCAGGTCACCAGAGTTGATAGGTCTGCCTTCTACCATCTTCGGCAGATCAGGCAGCTGGCCCCTTTCCCCTCCCCCCCCCCCAGGATTTGGCTACAGTGACCCATGCAATGGTCACTTCCAGGCAGGGGCGGATTAACCATGAAGCAGACTAGGCACGTGCTTAGGGCACCAGGGCCAAAGGGGGCACCGCAAAGTTATGGAAAGGGTGAATATTGGAACTTTGAAACATTTAACTTGTGAAATATGAAAACGGATGTTGTGCTGCGTTTTTGTAGAACTTTATGTAGCCCAAGCTTGGCTTAGTTTGTACAGTATATTGTGTTATCATTCATATGAATACATTTTTGTATTGCTGCAACCTGCACTGTCTATCTGGTCAGACAGGTCAACAACTAAAATGGACTGGGGTCAGTGTGGAAAGGAGGAGGGGGGCACCAAGATTGGTCAGTGCTGAGGGCACCAGTGAGCCTTCATCCGCCCCTGCTTCCAGGTTTGAACTCGCTCTACGCAGGCTGTAACTCGCTCTGCGCAGGCTTGCCCTTGCAGTTGATCTGGAAACTCCAGCTGGTGCAACATGCTGCAGCATACACCTGCTGTCTGCGTTGCCTGTGTGCCATCAACTGCACTGGTTACCGACTGATTACCGGATCCTCTTCAAGGTACAGATATTAACCTTTAAAGCCTTGTGCAGCCTGGAACCCACATACCTAAGGGACCGCCTTTCCCCATATGTGCCTTGGAGAGCCTTGTGCTCCGCTGACCAAGACCTGCTGGTTGTCCCCGGCCCAAGGGATGTCCGTTTAGCCTCGACCAGGGCCCAGGGCCTTTTCTGCCCTGGCCCCAGCCCGGTAGAACATGCTCCCACATGAGATCAGGACCCCACAGCACCTTTTACCATTCTGCAGGGCCTGCAAAACAGAGCTGTTCTGCCAGGCCTTTGAGTGAGTGACAGGCGTCCAGGAAAAAAGCTGGCCCTCCTG